TTATTTGTCATCATAAAAAGGGGGAGATTGTTGGGGATCAATAGTTTATGATTTTGATGATAGCAAACATTTTTATTTCTCTACGACTGCCTTATGCACTGACATTTCAGGTTCACACGATCAGACTGCATTTTGGAACCAGCTCAAGATTGTGTAGACTAGGTCTGAGTCAGTTTGTATATTTTTTCTTTTCTTGAGTCTATTATATTTGGTGTGGCTCCTGGTGTTTTGTAGCTTGGAAGATTTTTCTGTTGTTCCCTAAAGATTTCTATTATTTGAAGATGTAAAATTTAATATAAACTTATTACTTAAAAATATAAGCACTAACCAAAATTGTGAACCTAAAATTAGGTTGGAAAATATCCTAATGATGTGCTTTTCTTCAAAATTTTGGTATTAAGCTAATTGTTTGGATTAAGCCGAAACAACAAAAAAAAAAATTAATTTAATCCTTAAAATTTTAAACCATCTAACTTTACTGTAAATGAAGTAAATCTTTCAATTAGCTTGAAAATCTTTATGCAAAAGAATTAACCTTACTGGTAATAGGTCTAAAAAGTTTGAAAATCTGTACACAAAAGAACTTCTTACTGGTTAGCATAAGCAATAAATTCTCTCCAAAATCCATATGCCAAAGCTATATCCAATCAATCCAAATTACAACACTTAGTTTCTTCGTGATTTCCTCAGCAAACAAAGACGGGATCACGCGAGACATGGATTTTCTTATGTATATTTGAATAGAAAATTTACCCAAAAATTTTGCATCGGTTCAGCCAGTGGGGGCACGTGCCCCCTGTGTCCCCACCATGGCCTTCCAATGGTGTCGCTGACGATATACACTATTGAGAAGGAAAGAGTTGTAATGTCCCATAATCAGTTTGGAAGAATTATCATAGTTAATTAAGCATTTATCATTACAGGTGACTTCATTAAATCAATAAGAGACATCACTCTATTTGTCTGTGTAATCGATCATCTGTTACAGGTTACAATCAGAATAACACCACAAATTATCTTTAAAGAAAAACCCATCAGATATTATATTTTAACAGCCAACCCATTTTGTAGTGTCAACAACCAAGTTTTATTGCTTATGAAAATGACAGTTAAAATGTAGTAGGAAATAGTCAATTTTGTTCAATACAAGAAAATCAATATAATACTCAAAATTATTAAAAAATAAAATGAGATTTGGGTAACTTATATTGAATAGAAGAAATCTCTGAACAAATCAACGGATGTAAAAACCCCGAACAACCTTCTCTCTTTTCCCTCTTTCTTTTTCAGCAAGGCACGACACTTCAGATTATTACAATCTACCCACCTTAAAAAAATGTTAGAAACTATTAAAAGATTCTATCTTATATTTTCATATACATCATTTGTTTATGTATTATCAAAGTATCTAATATTGTCAATGATATTAATGTATTTGTCAATGTCATTAGTGTTATTATTGTATGTATGTATAATTATATGAAGACATAACATCTAGCTTTAACGTATAGTTTTTCAACAACTTTTACTCTAACTACTTCTAGTTGATCATCATTTATATCAATTATCACTTATTCAATTAATCAATTATCATTTAAAGTGGCTTCATTGAATCAATAATGAGTCATCATTCTTTGTCTGTCAAAATAATCGATCATATATTACACACTATAACCAAGATAACACAACAAACCATCTTTAAATAAAAACTCATTGGCCCTCCCTCCTACGTAAGGTATTATATTTTAACAACTAATGATGGTTATGAAGTAACCTATAGAATTATAAAATAATTTAGGGTTCTCTCAATCCCTAACAATACTTAAATTTTCTTTGATATACAAATTTATAAAAAACCACACTTAATATATGTAAGTATACATGACGAATTAAGTAATATAGTGATAGAGTAGAGTATTAATTCCACGAGAAAGATATACTCATTTGTAAACACTAGTACTTCTTACTAAAATTATAGTAATTATTATACTAGATAAAAATAAACATTATGATGATTCAATCATTTAAATAAAATTAGATCTATATAGATATAATATTTTGGATTGATGAATATAAATAAAATATTTTCCCAATAAATCTCTTTTAATTGTGATGCTATTTAGAGCATATGCATTCTTAGATCTCTATAATATTTTAGAGAGAGAGAGAGAGAGAGAGAGAGAGAGAGAGAGAAGGTGAGGTTGTGCTTGAGGGAGGAGTGTGAAGGCTTTCACACAATTGCTCCAAGCAAGCTTGCACCTTGCTTCTTTTAATGGCCTTCGTGAGTTCTTAGAGTTGTTCTTGGGAAAGAAGCTTCAAGGTCAAGGGTCGTGAGTTCTCTTCCTTTACCATAAGGGTGAAAAAAGATTGAAGGCTCTTTACCATCACCAAGAGGGTGAGAAAGATTTTAAAGGTTTGCTACCATCACTAGGAGGATGACATAGCTTTTGATTCTTCATTGCAACAGGATTGGTGGAAGTGATTTGTAACGGCTTCTCTACCTTGTTGTGGAGGTTATAGGAGAGTTAGTATAGTATTAGTGCAATAACTAGAGAGGATGACTCTGAGTAGTGAACATATGACCAAACCACTATAAAATTTTGATGTGTTCTTTCTGGTTTTTTCTAATCCTTTATTTTTAAAATTTTCAATTTCTTACATGAATTTAAATTTCATTGCAAACTTTAGTTTAATTACTAATATTTCTTGGTTAGATTTAATTTGTATTAGAATATATTTACATGAACATGTTATGGTCTACATCCTTGGCTAATGGTAGATTGATAAGTGTAAATTATATAATATTTTATATATTTTATTTTAAGTAAAAATATGTTATTTTAGTTAGTTTGTGCAGAAAAATCTAAAAATGTAATAAATTCTAAGGAGACTATAGTGCCATGTTGTCCAACAAAATAATGCCACAATACTACATTTAATACCACTAAGGTGCCATAAATTGGATATTGTGACATTGAGCTCTCTATTTGCAAGCACTATAGTGACAATATTATTAGTGCCATAACATTGCCGGTACCGCAGCATCAAAAAGTAAGGTTGGTAGCATCATATTCTCTATTTTCAAATATCATGGTGCCATAATTTCCCACAACATGGTGCCATTTTTTGCCTTCTCAGGCAGCACAATGCTTAAATGTCAATAGCAATGCAGTGTTATAGTTTTAACTTCTAAGGGCTGCATTCTCTAAATAAAGATATGTGATTATTCAAAAATTAACTAATCCACATCAGCAAACACCATGACAATGAAAAAATTCCACCATCGAGGCGTTACTTCACTTTAATGACACCATAGTGCCACTCTTTCAAGTTCCATAGTGCTAGATATCTTTTTATGTTGTCCTAAAATAGGTATCATGTTATGTTTATAAGGGAGTTCATTCACTTAAGTAAAATTCAGCTCTTATTTTCATAGTACTTCTCTAGTTCCCTCTTAGAGTAAAATCTTGGGAGGCTATGGAAGTACAAGATACAATTATTTGGAGTGTTTAGCTTGTGTTTCTTAAAGTAACTCGATAAGTTAATGGAGGAGTGTAGATGAGATACTTTGATATTTTTTTGATGACATCACACTCTTGAATTTTCATTCTTTCATAAGTTTAATGAAAATGAAGTTTCTTGTTATTTTTTTTTATGCATCGATACTTCTCTCATTTTTTATTGATGATGTAAAGTGCATGTTAAGCCCTTTTGAAGATTCTTATTCTATAAATATTAAATGATATTTCTAGTATTATGTTGTTCTTAATTTAATGCATATAATGGTTATATGTGTAGTTAAAATATAGTATGATGTATAGCTTCAACGGAGGAATGCAAGAATAAACATTTAGATTGAGATGGAATGTTTGCATGCCTAGACATAGGATGTAAAATATTTTAGATTCTCAATGAGATATTATAGCTATAGGAGGTCAGCCGATATCCTTTTCATCCTTATAAGCTTGATAAAGATATAGGGATTCATGTACTCCAAATCACATCTATAATTAAGAGTCTCATTAGGAAAGATATGAAATTTATACTCATCAATCCAAAACACTTTTATTAAATATTATATCCAATATTTTTACTATTTTATTGATTTATAGAATCTTCATAAATATCATTTTTATTTTAGTAGGATAATAATTGTAGTTAGATTAAACAGTAATTATTTGTTGTAAGCATACTTCCTTGTGGGTTTGACCCTTTACTCTATCTCTTTATTACTTGATTTGGTACTTATACTTATGTAAATTAAGTGAGGTTTTATTATTTTTATATGAAAGAAAATCTAAGTATTATTTAGGTGTGATAGAGCCCTAGATTTTTATATAATTCAAAAGTTCACTCAATAGCCCCAATTAAGTTTTGGGCACGTTGATGGGGAAGTATTTTATTTTTATTTTTGAAATTTTAACTATATTATTGAATTAATTACATAATTAGACTTACTTGTATCTTTTGTTTTATTTGTTTTATTTATTAATTGCATATTCATGGTTGCATATTTTATAGACATAGAATGAAACCTTTTATTATTTGACTCTAAAATAGTATGAAATTTTTTAAAAATTTAAAAAACTAAAAAGATTATGAAAGTGGCTGAACATGTACTAGGTCAAGATTATTGTAGACCTCTTAGAAATTATGTTAACCCTTAACTAGATGGAATTTATCAGAGCATTAATAGACCTATGATCTAAGCTAATAATTTTGAATTAAAACCTATCATAATTCAAATTGTTCAAAATCCTTAATTTGGGGGAATTTCTATTGAAGATCCAAATTTAGACTTAGTCGATTTCTTAGAAATTTATACAATATTTAAATATAATGGTGTAAGTGATGATACTATTAAACTTAGGTTGTTCCCATTTTTTCTAAGAGATAAAGCTAAGATGTACTTGAATTCTTTTCTCCCAGGCTCTATATCCACTTATAATGACTTGGCTCTTATGTTTCTTGCTAACTATTTCCTACCTTTAAAGAATGTCAAGCTTAGAAATGATATCACTTCTTTTACCCATTTGAAGGAGAATCAATTTATGAGAGTTGAGAGAAATTTAAGGAAATGCTTAAGAAATGCCCTTACCATGCTTTACCTAATTGGTTGGTTTTTCAAATTATTTATAATGGATTAGTAAGATCTCTTAGAACAATCATAGATGTTGCAGGTGTAGAATTTTTAAAGTTTAAGCTATTTAGGAAAGCATATAAATTAATAAAGAAAATTACAACTAATAATTTCTAGTGGCCTGTTGATAGGGTATATCCTAAGATAATAGTCAAAATTTATGAATTTGATGCTTTATCATTATTGACTGCACAAGTTGCATCAATTTCTAAGAAGTTAAGAACAATTAGAGTGAATTCTGGATTAGAATTAAATCATCTATACAATTGGAGGATCAAAATTTAATTAAAAATAATAATATGTAAGGGATTACAAATATTTTGATTGGAAGATAAAATAATACCTACATCAACATATATAATCCAAGTTGGAGGAACCATCCTAATTTGAATTAGTTAAATAATATTGATGGTAACAATCAATTAAATTTTAGTTAAAACAATTAATGAGTAAATTGAAAAAATCCTCAACAACCTGGTGTTAATCCTATACTTGCTTATACTCTAGGAGTTAATCAAAACAATTAGTTTGTAAGTAGAAAATCACCATTAGAAGATGTAGTTAGAGACTCTATTGCAAAATCAAGCTATTTCTATTTAAATTTTGGAAACCCAATTTAAGTCATCTTATAATTTCAATTAATTATAAACCTCTTGGATCATTGTCTAGCTATACTGAAGTTAACCTAAAGGAAAAATAAAAAGATCATAGTAAAAATCATTTAAAGAACGATAGTATTGTACCCCAGCCAAATTTATAAATCTAGGTGCCTCCGGTTGAAGACCATAAACTTAGTACTTATTGGTGGCAACTCACTTGTGTCTTTAGTAATCTTGTTGTGTTGGTGAGAATGGTACTTCAAGTACTAGTTATCGTATACTCTATATTTTATTTTTATATATATCACATGTTTTACACTTTTCTATCATCCATATAAAATTATGTGTTATTTACTAATATTCATTTATATTTTTATCTATATTTGATTAAATTTTCCTTATACTTACATTTTTACATTGTCTATCATTAACATCTATGTATTCTAACTATTTAATTAACCTTAATAAAAATGAAAAGAATTATATAAAATTATGATAATAATAAAATCCTAGATCATAGTTCAAATGAACACTACTTTATAATTCATAGATTAGAAAAATGTATAATTAATTAACTTAGATTATTTAAGTTATTGATTTAACTTGAATTTATAAGTTATACATTTATACATTGACCTTTAAATTGAAGATGATTATTAAGGTTAAAGAATATATATGAGTAGATTAAAATTGAAAATCAAAGCAACCTGAATTTAGAATTAGTAATCTTATTAAATCCTTACATTAAACTCATTAGAATTATAAGAAGATTTTAAGCAAAACTAACATTCAAAATTAATATGTACTCCACAAAAATAAAAAGGAAAAGAAATATGACAAGAGTTCTAAAAAGAAAATAATATAAAAATGAAAAAGAAAGATAGTACAATTCAAAATTAGTATTAGATAAAAGCTTAAAGTCTGACTATAATCTTTTACTTAATTCATAAAGGGTAAGATAAGAGAACTAATATAAATGATCGTGAACTAATGAAATTTTAATTTTAATTACAAATACATCTAATCTTTAAGTTATATTATTCAATTCAAAAGTCAATGATTATATTCATAACATGTAAATTCAAATTAAACAATAATAAAGGAAATAAGTTAGGATAATTGTTTGTGTTTTTTTTTTAATTTAGAATTATAATTTTATTCATTTTTACTACTTCTAGATTGTGATATATAATCATATATTTTAGTAATTTTAAATTAGCAATTTTTATTTTGATTATTTGATTAATTAGAATTACAAATTTTTTTTATTTTTTGAGGACAAGCAAGAGTTTAAGTTGGGGAGAATTTAAAAAATGTAAATTATGTGCTATTTTCTATTTTTTTAGTGAAAATGTGTTATTTTAGTTTTTTTTTTTTTTTTTTGTTTTTTTTAGTTTTTTTTTTTTTTGTGTAGGAAAAAACAAAAAATGGCTGAAATTCTAAGGTGACTATAGTGCCACGGCGTCCAACAAAACAACATCACAACACCACCTTCAATACCAGTGAGGCGCCCTAATTTAGACATTGCAGTGTCGAGTTCTCTATTTATAAGTGCTGCATTATTAACACAACAAGTGCCATAGTATTACCAGCGTTGCAACATCTAAAAGTCAGCTTGTTAGCACTAGATTCTCTTTTTTTAATTGTCGCACTGTCACAATTTCTGATAACATGGCTCCAATTTTCGCCACTCGGGCCCATCACAGTCAAATGTCAACAACACTGTGGCATTATATTTGTAACTTTCAAGGGTCACATTCTCTTAGTGAAGAGACATGACTATTTAGTAAGTAATCGATCAACATTAGTAAGCATCATGAAGGTGCAAAAGTTTCAGTGATGAGGTGTTAGTTCATTTCAATGGCACTGCAACACCACTCATTCAAGCACAACAGCGCTAGATGCCTTTTTGTGTTATCTTATAAATAGTTATGCTAATATGTGTTGTAACTTAGATTTCAAGATTAAGTTTTATATCATGTGAATTTTTTGATAATAGCAAAATATTATTGTTATGATTACTATTTCTCCTACGTACATTGGATATATTTTCTTTTTGTTGTTTGTATGTATGAGCATTTCAGGGAAATCATACTCTAGACTATCGAAGACTTCAAGATAGATTATATTAGGATTTCTTGTAATAAATTCTATAAATTTTCTATTTTTTTGAGTTTGAGAGAGTGTGATTATAATTGAGTAACCGTGCACATACACACTAGGGGAGTGAGTCAAAAACTTATTATTTTAAAACTAATCATATTGTATAAATTTTAAATTGTACTAAACGGTTTGTAATGGTAGTTCCTCCAAATGAAGTTAATCAAATCATGCCAGTAAATGTTTTTTTGTATTGTTCGTATTATACGAAGTTGGGTTCGTACATACGAAGACTAGAGTATGAAGTAGGTGCATACCGGTTCATCTCATATGAACACATCATTTTTTTGAACTGTTCATATTATATGAAGTTATGGTTTGTACAACGACATTCAAAGTATGAAATGGGTTCATCCATGTTTGTACCAAATAAAGCATGATTTGATTTAACAGTTCATATTGTCCAATATATGGTTCGTATAGTTGATTCATAGTGTACGAAATGAGTTCGTACATAATCATCCCAGATAAATGTGTTCATTTTTAAACAGTTCATGCATTACGATGTCAGTTCATACGTATGACTGACATAGTATGAAATTAGGTTCATACAGGATTGTATATGGATTTTTGAACTATTCGTACATACGAAGTGCAATTATACCATACGATCTTAGTATGCTCAAGTTAATCTACCCCTAAAACTCATAAAATTAGAATCCAAGGACAAAAGCTTCTTATGCACAAAAGTAATCAAGCCATCAAAAAGAAAAGTTTTTCCCTAACTTTAAAAAGAGGGAGACCAAGGCATTTAATAGGCAAGTGAACTCGCATAGGGATCTTTTGCAAGTTGTTGAATCTAACTCATAATTTTCTTAATCAAGAATTCGCTTTATCAATAGGATGGGTTTACTTTTGTTTTTAAGACTTCAGAAAGGTAGCATATTAAAAAATTAGCCAATGATGCAAAAAATAAAAGATGCGCAATGACGCCAAATTAAAAAATATACACAAAGTGTATAAAAAATTAAAAGATGCGTAGTGCGCCAACCAATTGTCAAGAGGCATAAAATGACCCCACAAAATTTAATGCTTACCATTCTTGTACTTCTTAAAAGCTTAAGAAAATCCTTGATACTTTTGATACTTGAGTTTGAAAATCTTGATTCTTGATTCAACAATTTGTGCATTGATCTTCTATTAGATATATTTTATAGAATGAGTTTTTGAAAAATGATTGTTTCTATCTCTAATTTATTTCATGATTTAGATATTGAATTAAAAAGTTTTTGAGCCTTTTTAAAAGAACTTGAGTTTGGATTATCAAATTCTGAATTTCTACCTTTTCTGGGCTATGCGTTGTCAATCCAATTCTGCTAAGTTTTTTATTAAAACCAAGAGGTAACTTTCTCATTTTAAGAATATTTGTTTTTTCAATAGATCAGGGAACATTTTTTTTTCTTTTGTGGGTGAAGTCTGAGAGAGGGAGAAGATCATGTGAGGGGGGACTCAAGGGAGTGTGGAGGGGGATTCCACACGGTTGTTCCGGTAGGCTTGCATCTTAATACCATCAGATTCAAGGCTTGTCTCGAGGGAAGTTCACCAAAGAAGAAGTTCACTTTGGTGTTAAAGGACCCGACGACTACGCCGCACCGGGGAAGGTGGAAGTGATTTTGTAAGGGCTTCTCCGCCTAGCTGTGGGGGTTAAAGGAGAGACACTTAGTTTAGTGAAATACTTGAAGGGTGCCTCCAAGGAGTGGACGTAGGTCAAGGTTTGACCGAACCACTATAAATCCGGTGTGTTCTTTTCTTATTATTGCTTCCGCATTATTTTCTTCCGCACTTTGATTTCTGTGGTGATTTTGGTTTGAGTTTTATCTTTGATTTTAAAGTTATCCAATTCACCTTTCTCTTTGTTAACCTTGGGCCAGTTCATAAGGGCTTAACATCCCTAACGAACTATCAAGTGGTATCGGAGCACTTTTTAGTGTCATCTGAGCACTTTCAAAATAATAGGGTCCTCGATAATGGTAGAGGGCGGTTCACTATCAATGATGGAATTTTATATTGGGTCCTTAGTATTGTCCTACGATTTTGCCATAGTTTCCTCAAACAATCCTTGCATAGGAATCTCATTATCATGAGATGTCGAAGGAACTAAAATAGTATTTCCTTATGATTTTTTGGAAGAATCATTCATCTTATGAAGATGAGGGTGTAACATGTAATATTCATTTAAACCATAACCATACATTTTACAGTGAGA